GCTAGTCACCATCTAGCCCCCATGCCCTGGGGCAGACTGCAGTCTATCAGCCAATCATCACAGGCAACAAGGGGTTTGGACTGGCTGCCTTTACCCACCCTCAGGCTGCCCCTCTGCAACCCCAACCTATATGAGCCTAGGACCAGGCCCTGCAGTCTGGGGAGTTGCTGGCCTAGGGCTTCCCAGCCCCCAAGGCCTTTCCCCAGCCCTGCCTCATCCTAGGTCCCCAGTGAGCTCCCTGCAGCCAGACCTGTGTCTCTCTCCTATCAGAGGGAGACTCCTCAGTGCTGGCTACCCTGGCCTTCTTATAAGGCTGAGTGGCTCAGTTTGGGGCGTGGCCCCAGCTACAGCCACTTTCCCAATCAGTCGGGGTTTTACTTCTTTTTACAGCCCCAGCCCCAGCCCTCTGCAGAGCTTTCCCAACCCCTTCAGGGCTGGAGTGGGCTTTCACCCTGCTACATTCCCCATTTTGTAGTTGTGCATTTGACTTTCCTTCCTTAATGTAGTACTTTGCACTTGTCTTTAGTAATTTTCATCTTGTTGATTTCAGACCAATTCTCTAATTTGTCAAGGTCATTTTGAATTCTAATCCTTTACTCCAAAGTGCTTGCAGCCCTTCCCAGCTTGTTGTCATTCACAAATTTTGTAAGTAAACTCTCCACTCCAATATCCATATCATTAATGAAAATATTGATTAGTATCAGACCCAGGACTGACCCCTGCAGGACCCCCATAGATACGCCCTCCAGTTTGACAGCAAACAATTGATAACTACTCTTTGAGTATGGTCTTTCAACCAGTTGTGCACCCACCTTATAGTAATTTCATCTAGACCACATTCAGAATGTCATGTGGGACTGTGTCAAAAGCCTTATTAAAATCAAGATATATTACATCTACTGCTTCTCTCCTATCCACTAGTCCCTGTCAATAAAAGAAATTAGGTTGGTTTGACATCATTTGTTCTTGACAAATCCATGCCGGCTATTCCTTATAGTTCTATAATCCTCTGGGTGCTTACAAACTGATTGTTTAATAATTTATTCCAGTATCTTTCCTGGTATTGATATGAGGCTGATTGGTCTATAATTCCGCTGAAGAAAACAGACATCACATTCCAGTGCATAAAGGGACAACAATCCAAGAGAAGGAGGATGTATGGATTTAAACATCACCCTGCAGAGTTTTACAACCCACATGTGCCTTTTGCTAGCACAGGAGAAGCAGGCAATGAAAGTAATTAGAAGTTCGCTGTAAACAAAACCAAACTGGCCTGTCTCATTTTGTTGTTCAAAGCTAGCGTGACCAGACGTCCCGTTTTTAAATGGACAGTTCTGTATTTAAGCCCTCCTGCAGGTATCCTGACTTTTTCTTCACAAGCAAATTGTTCCATATCTTCTGTCATCAGTACTGGCAGGTTCTGCTGCTGGCCGTATCCCTGCTCGCCAGCCGCCTACCCACTAGCGGTGCGGGGGGGTGGGGGGTGAGGCGCGTCCAGTGGCTGACGATGGGGGTGGGTGTGCAAGGCTGGTGGCAGGGCAAAGATGCATGGGGCCAGCCGCTCCCCCTTCTGGTCTGTCAGCACAACCCCTGGTGCATGCCGGCTTTTGGCCAGCAGGGCCCTGCCCCCTGTCCCGTTTCCTGCCTGCGCTGGCTGCATGCTGTGAGCTGCAGTGGCTGGTGAGTGCAGGCAGGTGCCAGTCAGTGGCTGATCACATGTCGTCTCTGCTGCCCACTCATCGGCCCTTTACGTGCTCTCCCTCTCGCTGTCCCCTCACTGCTTTGCCCCTTTGTTCCCTCCAGCCTGCTGCTCCGCCATATCCCCCACGGTGGGGCATGTCCCACTCCCAGCGCTGTGCGGAGAACCCGCCACTGGTCGGAGCGCTCAGCTCACCAGCACTCTGGCTGGCAGGTTCCTTCCTTCCCCCACTGCCTCTGGCTGGGCCGGCGTCTCGGGAAAACCCAAGTCCCTCCAGCGTGGGGCACTGGCCAGGAGGAGCCGAGCCCTGCATGTGTCAAAGCCCCGCACAGCACTGCCATGGGGAAGCCTCTCCCCCCCCCCAACCAAGCTCTGGAGTTGGGAAGGGGGGAGGAAGCGATTTCTGACCTGTTCATGCCCTGAACCTGCAGGCTCCATATCAGCCCCCAGGGCAAGGGCTTAGCACCCTCTCACCCATCTCCCCCCACCCGCCCTAGGCCCTGCCCCCCAGGGAGAGTGGGGCTGCTCTGTCCCCATGGCACTCTCCCCTGCTGAGCCACCTCTCTGGCCAGGTTCGCTGAAGCCCCTGCAGTCAGGTTCCCTGGGCACTGGTGCACAATGCATCCTTAGGGCTTAACCCCTTCCTGCCCAGGCTGTAGCCAGAGGCGGCTGGGTTATGTCGGTGGCCAGCAGCAGCCCGGAGGTGTGAGCTGCCTTTCGAAAGTGCAGGCAGGAATCCCTGGAACAATACTTCAAATGGTGAAATCTGAGTTGATAAAGGTGTCATTTTGGGAAACTAGTGATTTAAGGAAAGAGAGTGAAAAGTTAACTCTACAGAGGCTGGAGAGAATTAAGCAGTTAAACTTTGTGAAAATGTTAAAAAGGACCGTGTTAAAGAGAGAGAATTCTTGGTTTCTTTGCAGCCATTCTGAAGGGGAAATGGGCCCTTTTCCAAAAGAATGTCTGTAGTTAATCCAGGTAAAGAGACTATCTGATTGAAATCATTTGACTATGGACAATTTAGTCAAATCTGCTAAGAGCATGGGGGGGGGGGTTCTATTGGAACTTAACTGCCTCAAATGTATAAAGGGAA